AGATTTAGAATGCAATTTATTGTAACATATCCGAGTATAATGAACACTAACATATTTTCGACAGTATCCTCGCTTAAACATTTACGAAATTATTTAGGGTATAGCATCGTCTGTTATTTTTAATTATTATAAAAAAATTCTGATACCTTTGCAACTTTTTGCAATCCACAAAATTTTTGTTGGGAAGGGCACTCGATTACAGGCCTAACTCCAAAGCCAAGGGATATCCTGTAACGAAACGTTACATTATACAGGTCACCTGATGCTGTTAGGGTAGAAAATCTAGGCTACGATTTGCTGGGCATGTCGCTCAGATGGAAGAGATAAGGATATAAAATGGTGGTGGGCACGTCTTCAACAAACTCCCACTTTGAGGACTAAAGAAAAGACAGGAGGATAAGATTAAAATGCATCTAAGGGATAAAGGTTACGAGGCTGTAAGATGGAACGAACTTGTTCGGTATCGCATCCAGTGTTTCTGCTACAGCGTAGTTATAGAGACATTAACGAGTTACTTAATTAACAAAAATGTGTCAGTGCTTATAATTACTTACGAAATTATTCGTTATCTGAGGTTTATTCAATATAAATCAATGCCTCTAGACTGCTTGTAACCATTATATTGTTAGACCGGAATGCAACCATCGCGTGAAACATACTGCAGACATTGTTAGAGTAGGCCCTGCACCAAATCTTTCGAATGATATTATTTTTCTTTTATGGTATTAGGAACTGGTTGTTTCGTGATATGATTTCAAATTGTGTGGTTTTCATATATATCGGATAGTAACTAAGACTTAATTATTTTGGAAAGCAAAAACTGATTAAACCGTTCAAGACAGTGGTCACTCCATTAGCTGTATGGTCGAAGACTGTAAATTAGAATTAATTTGTTCCGGAGTTAATGTCTTTAGAGAATGTAAATATTATTATTATTATTCTCGTCCTTTCTTTTAAGGGAAAGTCGGAGTTTGGAGAATAATAAGAAATTTTATTTTCTGTAAATACAGTGTGAAGGTTGTGACTTTATTGAACTGGTTCAGGTAAATTCTCCTGGCGGGCTTTTGTGTTCTCGTTAATGAAAATCATTTAAAGCGAAATTCCTTCACCGTCTAAGTGAAAGTTTTCAAAGAAGACCCTGCGTCATGTCGTCGTACTTACGCAATCCTGTCAAGGAAACTGAACTATTGTGAGTAAAGACCCTACATTGTCGAAGTTGTGCAACATTTTTGGAAGTTCTGTTTACGTAACTAGTATTTAAAGTAGCTGTAGGTATGTGTGTTCACACAATACTTCCTTGTGTATTGTTGTCAGTGCACACAGCTTACGTGTGTTTACTTTTTAGGTGAAATAACTGAAGAGTGGGGTGTAGTCCTTAGCAATTCTGTTTTGTTTATGGTAAGCCATCAGTTCGATTCCGACAGGGAGATCGGCTCTTATGAGGATTTGTTGCGGTTTTATTCAGTTATTGTAAAAAATGATGCATTGCCTCGACTTATTGCTTTTCTAAACCGTCCTAGAGCTTTTCTACAAAGTCGTGTTACTTAGTTAACACATGTTCGAAATAAGTAAATAATAGTCCTATATAGACTAATTTAATATTTTCGGAAAGGTGTTATCACAAAATTTCTTAAATTGAGGTTGAGTGTTATAATGAAAACAAAATTTAGCAAGATGACAGTCTTCTGGGATGATGCGCCATGAAGCCTGGCAAAAGTTTACCGACGTTTTACAGGTGCTTGCAAGGAAGGGCCGCCCAGGGACCAACAGGGAAATCATATAACACGAGGAGTTGAGGATAAAATGAAGAAGCGGAAATAGGGGAAGTTACACTTGGCTTTAGGGTTAGGAACCTTCTGTATAATATATTTGTCTTTTGCGAAGTTCATGTCCAGCTCATCTTATTCTGTTAATTACCCTAATAATATGAGGTGTTTAGAACAAATTGTAAAACTCGTATTTTATTTAGAAAATAACGCTATTTTAATAAGATGATTAACATAAAACGTTCCACCCGGTAAGCGCTAAAATTTTTGTCACGAACGTTTTTCAGTCTAGTAAATGCCCTATGATATATTTGTGTGTGTGTGTGTGTGTAAATTTAGGCCTCTTAGTAAAATGGTAGAACAAATTGTTCAGATTGGGCACGAATTCCGTTTTGTAGATGCAGTTCATTAAGAATTTGTAGTACCAAAAGCCGTCAAAATTCGTTCATCAGTGCAGCGTTATAAGTTTGTACAGTTAGATAATTCATGATGACGTGTTTCGACTCTGTAGCAGATAGAAGTAATTTAGAAGTAGTGAAGGATAGGCTGTGTTGAAAATTGGATTCGTCATAACTTGGGCACACAAGAAAGATTTTCTCTCCCTTGATGGTACTCGTTTTAAATATTATTTAGAACAAATGTCATAAAATAAATTTCGTCTGAGAAATTGCTACCCATTGCATCGTAACGAAATGTGGTATTCAGTATTTACACTAAACGTTCTTAATTTTTATCCTTGTCGGTTCAGTATGACCCCTACTTTACAAGAAGCCCACTTTGAACCATTTGTCGGTTTGTGCCAATAACTGTTCACCGGACAAATGCATATTTATAAGAAAATTACGGTCCACGATAATTTTCTATGACTTATAGTGGTCTATTATTCCTAACCCAAAGCACAGTGTTTGCAGTAGTACCACCTGATTTATCATCCAGTAACGCTTTATTTTTATAATAACGATTATTTATCTGATAGCTTTAATCAACTTTATCTTTGTACTGGAGAACGCTGAGTTCTCTTTGTAGTAGGAACTGAATTCTGTAAATGCGATTTACATGAGCTTTGTGCTTCGAAGGGTTGAACGAAATCTGCGAGCTATAAATGTATTCAGTGTCGTATCTGTAGTGTGGTAAGTTTTTCAACAAAAGATATATGTGCAGTAAATTATCGTAAAGGCTTAGGAAGTTAAGCAAAATCATAAGTTAATTGTTTGGAAAGTGTGTGCGTGTGTGTGTGTTTTTCTGAATGGAATATCCGTTTATTCCACTTTTTATGGGGGACGCTCCTTATTGTGAGATTAGGATCTGTTATGTGTTTAAGATTTTTTGCTCTGACTTACTGACGTCACGATGCAATAGCATGTGACGTAACATAAGGAGAATAAACACTATCTGTCGTACACAAACTGCGTTTGTCTAGACAACACTGGGATCTGCATGTGGTACATGTTATGAAACAATTTTCACAAAACACGAACGATATAAATTTAACTAAATTGCAGTTGAAAATTATTCTGAATCTTTCCAGTGATCCCTCTTGCAAGTAATAAACTCCAAATATTAATGCAAAAACAAATCCTATATGCGGGCCTACGTTGAAAAATAAATTTAGTTACAAATCAAACCCACTTCGTGTTTCGATAGAAAACTATTTATATTTTTCTAAGTTCGATGAAATAATTCTCGTGTAGACAATTAAAATTGCATTTGGAGACAATTTAAATGTTACCCGTTGTAACACAGAACATCATTCCCTGAAAATTAGGTCATTGACCTTGGAAAGGTTCCAAGGACGAATCTGAAGCCCGGTTGGGGATAATAACGGTTTCAGTTGAATTCAGAACTGGGGATAATGAGATGACCCGTTCTTCAAGTGCCTGAGCACTGCGGGCTCCAACTTTTTCGTTGGCTAGATCTATAGACATTCGGTAGGACTCCTTGGACGAGGGATCGGCCAGGCGCAAGGCCCCTGCCTGTACACAGGACAGCAGGTACGATTAGATCGACGGAAACTTCGACCTTAAAGTGTCAACGTAATGCTAGGTCAACTACTGTGGCGCTCATACCACCACACAACCTAGAATACTTATTTTATTTGCTTCATTATCACTTTTACAATTAAGTTCTGGTTCAGTAATGTTGTCCAAAGGTTATATCATAAATTATAAAATACCACACAAGTCAACACGGCAAATGACAGAATTGCGTGTTTCATATAGTTTTTGAGACGAAGAGGGGATGAAAGACGGAGGAAAAAATCGCGGTATAACGGTTGAGCTGAACATTTACACTCTTACAAATTCTGAATAAAACAAACCAAGTTGGTTGTACAAATACATATGCACAAGCTAAACCGTCTTTAGCTTTCTTAGACAGCAGCGTATAATCGAATTTTCCGCGTTCGGCAAATAATCTAATTTATTTGTAATCGAATCCACGTCAGACGAACTCTTGTTAGAGGAGGGTTTACTGTATATGGGTACTGCACTCTGAAGCTGAATTATTCTAAGATATCAAAGATGAAATTCTTGCTGAAGTATTTTCTCATGATGACAATTAATGAAATGTGTGGATAGAGAGTATGAAGGTGTGGTAATTTTAGGTCCGCGAAATTTCCCTGTGGGGTACATAACAGAACTTGCTTCTCTGTCAGTGCCATTCCATCGCTGCTCTATATTCACTAATCATCCGGAGGACGAGCAGTGGGTGCGTTAGCCGCCGCTTATCCATTGTCTCACTCCACTACAACATCAGTTACACGCCTATAAACAATGACTTGCTTCAGTGTTTCCGTTATTCTTCTAGACTTTCAACTGCCCAGTGAGTAATACGAAATATCACGACCAAAATAAAGTCTTGTATGTGACTTATCTCTGGAAAGCTTGTAGTTTTTAATGATTTTTTTGGAAACTATATGATTGATGTTGTTGACGTTAATGACGACATGAAAGAAACTCTCGCCTCGAGGTCAACTATCCTGACTGAAGTTTTCTTTAGTTCGTCCAGGCAAGCGGAAAGATAGTAACATAAACAGGTCAGTACCTTCGCCTTCCTCACTCACCGTTCACAGAATTCTCCCATTTGACTAAGAAGTCTTGTTAAAGCGATTTGTGATATTTGCAGGCTGGCATTTTTCAGAAATATAGAAAGTGTGTATAAAATATTTTTGTGAATTGGTTTGTTACCTTTTATAACTGTGAATTTACACAAAAAAGACTTGAAAAGCAGACGTTCGTGTTTGGATGCCAACCCACTCCGTTTTGTTAAAACTGATCGTCGCAGAAGAAAAAGTATTTGGCTAGAAACTGTAACGTTTTAATGCTTGCGTCCTTTCATCCTTCCGAACCCTAATATCCGCCACACTGACGGTGTCCCTGGTTTGCTTACAAGTACACAGTTACATATTCTATTTGTCACGGAATTCGTGAGAACAGTACCACCTGACTCGTATCCCGTAAGCAGAGTAAATACAAATGGCATTGAAACAAACTTAGTTAATAAAGTAGCATCTTGGCGCTGATGCAAGATCTCCAGCCATGAAAATTAAAACGACTGCATTTGCTTCGGCCAGTAGTAAGACTTGCGAGTCAGTGACGGCCTACTCGACGCCTTTGCACCGCGTACTGTAGGTATGTGTGGAGGGAAAGATGTCAGTGTTGGTCGTCAGGGCTCAAGATGGAGACTATCTCCAGAGTGTTGGTATCTGCGTACACGACCATTCATCTCCACAACCCAGAACACCAGTATCGACAGATCTAATCTTAATTGTATACGTATGTATTGACAGGTAGCTAATTTTAAGGTTTGTACGTAACTGATAAGCAGAACGTCGGGTGTTCATGGATGATTGATTCTAGCTTATTGGTTAATTTAACGAAGTTTTTTGAACTTAAAAGGTTAAATAGGTTTTCACAGCGGTGAGTATGAAGATTTCTGTCTTCTGGGTTGTTGCGCTGTGTAGTCTGGTCGATGTTTACCAACGTTTCAGAGGTCATACTGCCTCCATCATCAGGGCGATGAGTATGAAGATTTCTGTCTTCTGGGTTGTTGCGCTGTGTAGTCTGGTCGATGTTTACCAACGTTTCAGAGGTCATACTGCCTCCGTCATCAGGGCGATATATCAACAACCCAGAAGACAGAAATCTTCATACTCACCGCTGTGAAAACCTCAAATCATATACAGTTGTGGTACATGTAGCACGCATTGAAATTATGAATGCATACAAAGTTGTAGTTAGAAAGAACGTAAGTGTGCGAACTAAATTAGACTAGGCAAAGATGGGCTCACAGTTGAACCCCTGTGGACACGTCAATGGACCGTCTGGTTCTTTGGGGATTTTCTTATGCAACTGAGAAAGCCTCAGCTTCTCAAAAACGCTACTCCGAGGAATGAATTATTTGGATAAGCCAGTCAGAAAATGTGGTTCATCCGTAACATATTCACAGCATGGAATTAGATTGTATTGCGAGAGTTATAATCTTGCATATACGCCTTTTCAAACATGATACACACGACCTTCACGGCACTGACGTGTTGACCTACATTGCAGATTGCGTTCCCTGACATTAATAACTCTGTCTTTGAAGACATTCATTTCTGCCGAGTAAGGGTTTTATAGGTTATGCCATTAGGCCCTCTACAAAATTACGTGTTTATTACCATGGAGATGAATCTTTATCGGTAAACTGATAGTCGTACAGCTAGTCGAGAAATACCCTGCCCTGTATGGAACCAGGAAATTCATTACAGTGTTCTCAAGAGGCCGCCATGATTTCTGTTGTAAGTGAAATTATTCTACCTTACAACCTCGTGCTTCATATTTTAAATCTAATTTAATATAAAACTCCCATCCACAGCTGGGATCTCCAAATTATCTCATTCGTTGAAATTCTGGCACTGAGACATTTTATGTGTATTTCTCGCATCTTCCTTGCGTGCTACATATCCCGCCCTTCTCGTTCGTATTAATTTGTTCATCCTAATAATAGCAGACGAACAAGGTTCTAAAGGTCTTCAGTATGCAGTTTTCTCCAACTTTCTGCAAACTTGCTCCTACTCAAGTCCAAATAATTATTATCCCCACCACCTCTGTTCTCGAACACAGAATATGTTTTTCCTTTAATCCAGTGGGAAAAATTCCACAGGCGTACAAGAACAACAAGTAAAATCACGATTTTAAATGCTGTAATATTTACTTCTGACATGAGCAACAAAGTTTTAAAGTTTAAAGTTTTACAATTTCTTTAACATACGATTTAAGTTACGACTGTAGTCTATTTGATGTGTAAAATAAGAAGGTATTTTATGTTTTTAACTTTGACAGATTAATATTTTGGTTAATCATTGTACTAACTTCGATTTCGGACTTCATTTTTTCCAACTACTGGTAATATTTAATTATGAACGACCATGATGGGAAAGATGCCGTCTGAGGCTACTTCAAGATGGCATGTGCTTGTCTTCTCTTTAAACAGTAGGCGGGAAGACAAAATATCCTGAACTAAACGGTATCAAGCATTCCTTGGATTAATCTGCTCATAATTTCTTCCTGAATGTAATTTCGATTTTACACCGTCGTTTTAGAATATGTATTTGAACATAAAATGTTTCACTGCTAAATGAAAATTAATTCTGCGAGAAACAATGTAAGTTCGCAGATTTGATCGCAGTATTTTGTTCTCAGAAACTCTCTCTGTGTCTGCAGTTTAAATAAGGCCGTTAAATATTTGGTGTTCGGTAATAAGAACTCAAGTCAACACAAATTACGTTCAACTTCAGCCCTTCTTACCGAATACCAAAGGAATGCCAGCTGCCAGTGCTGGTGAGTGACGGTTTTACATTCGATTTCTCAAGCACAGTGCAGCGGATTGTGTTCCCATGACATTTTTGTTGCATTTATAGAATTAGTCAGATTTGCTCTCGATAAAAACGCGCTTCATTGTCACAGGTCCAAGATATCAGGCCTTCAGTATGACTTTTTGACTTGGAGTATTCGCAAGAAGCAGCAGCATAAGGCAATGTCCTACGTAAGCGATAACAAGCGAGCTATGCGAGCTGCATAAGCAGCATGGGGTGTCATATGAAGCGGAGAATGCACCTTCCGTGTACTGCATGGTCAGAGCTTTGTTGCGCATGCGCCTTACTGGCCAGCGCAGCGACTCGCGCGAAAATATCAAAATATTTGATCTCGGACTTGGCCGCTTCGCTCGCTTCGTTGCAACCATCAACCCAGAAGCTATTTCTGTAATATCTAAACATGCCGTCAATGAATTAAAATAATTGCCTATTACAATTAGTTTTGTTGATGAGTATTACCAATAATATACTGATGGACGCTGTTTGATCTCTCTGTCTACCTTCAGACTTGTCTGATTTTTAGTATAGTGCATATGCAACATGGAAACAGTTCAGGAGGTGCGGTATTTCTCGTGGGTAGACTACACAGTGTTTGGCGCCATGTTACTTGGTTCTGTTGCTATTGGCCTTTACCATGGATGCAACGGAAGATTCACACGTGACAAGAACAGTGGACCAACAAGGAGCGACTCTGGAGAATTCTTGACGGCCAATGGGCAGATGGGTCCAATCCCTGTAGCAGTATCCATGTTGGCAGGGTAAGTGCAATATGACACTTAGCGAATAAAAAGTAGAAACTTTAGGTCTGAGGTTTTCACAACGGTGAGTATGAAGATTTCGGTCTTCTGGGTTGTTGTGCTGTGTAGTCTGGTCGATGTTAACCAACGTTTCAGAGGTCATACTGCCTCCGTCATCGCCCTGATGACGGAGGCAGTATGATCTCTGAAACGTTGGTAAACATCGACCAGACTACACAGCACAACCACCCAGAAGACAGAAATCTTCAACTTTAGGTCTGTTAGCCAACACTAATTATTAAATTTGGTACGTTATATTAAAACACTCGTTAACCATTTTTGGGCTACGAATGAAATGTCTCGCTAATGATATAAAAATTAGAAATTAAACAATCGTGAACAAATCAGGGACTCTGGTTTGCCGGTCAGTACTAGTATATCAGACCTCAAAAAACATGGTGGAACTCTGTTAGTCACTGTACCGCTGTGTTTGCCTCTGCATGGAAAGTATGCAGTCCATCCCTTGATCACCATACTGTCCGATGCTATGTAAGATGCAAGTTGATAAAAGTTGTTAAATGAAGCACTTCGCAATGTTAGGAATATGGAACTTCGTTGTGAAGTGCTAAGCACTCCTGCTTCGTCTGTAACAACTCTCGTTTTCATAATCATCTAGAGTACCCCCAGGCAAATGCTGGAACACAGAGTTAAAGTAGACCACGGCCGTCTCCTCCTACAGAATTTATCATTCGCGACCATCCTGCCATTCGCTAAAAATGGAGGGAGTTGATAAATTTTCGTCAGTAAACTACAAAGCGTATAAAGATGGCTGTCTTCTGAGTTGTTGCGCCGTGTAGTCTGGTAGAAGTTTACCGACGTTTGAGAGGTCCTTGTTACCTCCATCATCAACAACCCAGAAGACAGCCATCCTCAAACTCACCGCCGTGAAAACCTCAGATCCTACATACAAAGCGTTTAATTTAAAAGGCAACCCTAACCAATTAGGCCTATCTGTTACATCAGTATAACAAGACAAATGAGTTTTCTGTTAGGAAGAACTTCCAGAACACCTTTACAGCTGATGCTGAAAATGTCCATTGCCTTCTCGAAGACTAGTCAAGCCTTGAATACCACACCGAAAATTATTCTTACCAATGATCTTTTGTAGCGAAGCAGTTGTGTTCCCAGTGTGGAGTTTCGGAATGTCTCACCTGTCGACACTGTCTGACGCCAGACATCCTGTGTTCCCAGATTTTGCTAACTTTCGGTGTAAGACGCATTGCTAAATGCTTCACGAACAGTAGCAAGCGATTTTGATGCGAAGTAATGTTCGATAATGAACACCGTATTTGCACCTGCACAACTTTTGCACAACTGGTGTGAGTGGCGGCCTAGCAATACGGATGACCTTGACTCGAGTTTTACAAGGGCGGTTGGGACAGTTCATCACACAAGGGTGGACCTGCTTCTGATTTAATTTTTATACGATAATATGTGATTGATGTTGAGTTGCGTTTCAAATGTTACGCCCTGTGTATGTCGAAATATTTACTCTTAGGAAGCAGACATACCACGAGCAATCTTGTCAGTTATCTGAAATAGTTTTAGGCTCTTACTAATTCTGAGTCGATTTAGGCTCGAGCGCATAATCCGTGGAAGTTAATGAAAGTTTGTTTCGGAAGCTGTTTCTGGTTTGTGTGGTAGAGACATCCTTGACCTTAACATTCTTTAACCGTCACTCAAATCCTTCATATAAATGGATTGGACCGTTTAATGAATAAACTAAACCATGTGTCAGATGGCTTGACCGATATACAGAACTGCAAAGCTCAACGTTCGCTCGTTCGTTCGTCCGTCCGTTCGTCCAGCCAACAGAGAAGAAAGAACCTTCAGACATGAGAAACCGGCAGCCTAAAGCAAAAAGACCAGATGAATAGAATGAATTGTGTGTAAATGTGCTCCCATGTGGTGTATTGGTCTTGCAGCATTCCTAACCAGTAATTCGATATTTTCCGTTTGAATGAAATAAATTTTATGCACACGCTACCACCAAAATCGGCCGTTAAGTCATTTTATATTTTGGTCGTAGACCTCAGTTTGTTACTGTTCGTGTGTAATAAAACGTGAAAGTAAAATTCTGTTCAACCTGTTTTGTAGTGGTTTTGCAGATTAAACACACATTTGTTCCTTTACTCGCAGGAATATTATTTATAGGCCAATTGTCTGCTCAGAATACCTGCCGCTATGTAAAATTAATCCAAAGGTTTTGAAACAAATCCCCCAAAATTCATAAACTTCGGCATACAGTGTGTGGAAGGAAGAGTTGCTCCTGGTTGCTTACCTAAGTACCACGTCATGCAAACATATGGTGGAACAGAGTTTTTTAACATTGGCACTAGATGCAGTGCCTCAGCAACTTTACTCCAGAGGAAAGGACCCCAGTACCCATTGGATAGGAGGCTGTGGGACCCAGAGTTGATCTGGATATTGTGGCAAAGAAATAAATAAAACCATCCTGCCAAGAATTGAACCCCAGTTGTCCAGCCCATGGTCTAGTTAAGGTCTAGTAAATAAACCACCACAACTTTAATCTGGTGACGTTTTAGTGTGCAAAGTAAATTACGTAAAAACGGATTTCCTGAAGCCATATTCAATTTGGCTGAAATATTTCAAATTATGTTATTCTCAAGAGCCAATCGTTTAGCTGAAAGGAAAGTAATTATGCTATGCATCATAAAATGATCTGTTTTCTAACATAAGTTCATTCATACTGGTATATACAAATAATAATAATATAATATAATATTTTATTACATTCAATGGATCCATAAGACAGTCAGATGACGAATAATAATTCAATTCAATTCAATTCTTTATTATTTGTGTGCTGTATCAACAGCCTGAATGCCAATTACAGATACAGCACACAGATGAGCACACGAAAACAATAAAAACAAAAGGCAAAACAAGCAGAATATAAACTACACTAATACGGAGGACGATAATACACAAGAAAATTGCATCTAAATATATTAGCATATTTGTAATAATAATTTAAATCAATTAAGTAAATTAAAGTGTGACAATTTTCGTCTCGAATATGTCCAAATCCCTGCAGACGACATTAGCAGCTGATGCGCATCTAGCAGAAGGACTGTTTTTGATCAAAGGGCTAAAACTGAACATAGAAAAATCTCTCAGATTCCGAGCAGGGACACGGATACCGACAGCTTCCAGACGGGAAGGACAGCATTTAAAACCGCGGTAAACCTGCGCAAGGAACAGTGCATCACTGCAATGCCTTCTCTTACGCAGGGTCTGGAGTTTTAAATACTCTAAAGCATCAGTGTAGCTGTAATGCACTTGGGGGAGGAGACGATAGTAGCAATAATAATAATACAATGCATATTATAAAGTACAATTCATACTATTACATAAATTTCACATAATACAAACAAAGGGTTCACCGAAAGTAATGATAAATTACAAATAGATCTACCCATTACACACAAGAAAAATTTATCACTTATTTGTAAACAACATAAATTCATTGACAGTGTAAAAGGAGTGTGTAATTAAGTATGTTTTTAATGCTACATTAAATTGTGCCTTTTTATTTACAAGACTTGTGTTACTGTTTGTTTTTCAGATTCCTGTCTTCTATAACTCTTATGGGTCAACCTGCAGAAGTATATCTGTTTGGACCACAGTTATGGATGTTCGGTTTATCTAGTTTCGTCTGCATTCCCATCATTGGCTATATCTTCATTCCATTCTACCATAAAATGCAGTACACCTCAGCTTATAAGGTTGGTACTTGTCAAGATGTTATTTGTTATATCTACTTCAGATCTTTAACAGATCTAAATACAGTAGATGTCACTAAGTGCATGATGTTGGACTTACCCACACGTTACTTATTCTTTCCCTTATTTTACTCCTTGTCTTTGACTTTCTTCTTCTCCACAGGTTAATAAGCCTTTTGTTTTGAGTGTAAATCATTCCACTTATGCAGTTTGTCAGGGCCTCTTGTCTTTCGTTAAGAAAGGTATCTCTTACTTCTTTCATGAATTGCACTTCACTCCACTCTTAAATTGTTAAAAAATTCTTCTATTTGTTTGATAACAACATTGTTGTCAAATATCTTTGCCTTTTACACGACTGGCCATGCAACAAGGAAAAACCTTGTTATACTTCTCAAAATGTTAATAGGTTCATTATTAATTCATTATATTCTTTGTGTTTGGTTTCAGTATTTTGGACAGCGTTTTAATCGCTGGCTTCAGTTATTTGCGTCTGCAATGTTCTCCATCCAAATGGTTATTTACTTGGCCTTAGTTCTGTATGCACCAGCCCTTGCACTCCAGCAAGGTAAGTGATGAGGCACTCAAGTTCTCCTGAAGAAGCCAAAATAACCCAGAGCAGTAACTGGTTGCATTCTGTTTAAATGGGGTTTGATTCCTGGGCAGCCAAAAATTTAACTTTGCCTTCACACTTGGACCAGTTGCAGGACCCATTGAGCCTCCTGTAGGATGGGTAACAAGAAACCCTTTCAGCCAGTCTCTTAGTAACCCCCTTACATATTCAGCCAGAATATATCCTATTTGCATATGGAATCGAACCCGAGACCCCAGGATTACAAGGCCAGCGTTCTAACCGCTAGACCACCGTGGTGGTTCTATATCTATATCTATATAATTATGTGTTTAATCTTTTTTGAGCTTATTTATATGAATGGTCTACCAAATGAATTATTCTGTGTTCCAGTGACTGGTCTTGATACTAATACTGTTGTCACCATGATGTATATTGTTGTCATCTTATACACAACAGTTGTGAGTATTGTTTTGTAAGGAGCATGTATTATTCCCTGTAGTTGTGACAGATTTTGTGAAGAGAAGCCTTTAAAGTTGATCAGCTTAATGAGCATGAATTTAGTTTACAATGTACTGGAGGCTCAGGATTGCCTGAGAAGACTTCATTGAAAATTCTCTGTAATCACACTCTTATACCCCTTGTAGATAAAACTGAATATTGCTTATGTTACTGACAGGGAGGAATAAAAGCCGTGATATGGACAGACTGTTTCCAAGTTCTGATTCTCTACTCATCAATGTTTGGTGTGCTGGTGAAAGGAACTATAGATGTTGGCGGACTGGCCGTAGTCTGGGAACGCAATGTTCAGTCGGGACGTTCAGATTTCTTCAAGTACGTTGTGGTAATCAGATAGTCACCCCGACTTCTTTAGCCAAATGAATGTGACCTCTGGTCCACATCATCATTGTGTTAAGAATCCAGTATCTAGTTCTGTTCAGATTATCAATGTTTCAATCAATGGTATTCATGCACTGCAGTGCTGGTATAGCAGTAATGTTTATAGACATGTATTTGGGATGTATTTTCTTTAGATCTTGGCTGGGTTATGGGCAATTCTGATTGAATGGAATATTAAACTGAATTAAGAAATGATCACATCATTCCAAATCTTCACTTATTTATAATTTATAATCATATTCCCATCACATTCAATGCTGTATAACCTTTGCAATTGAAACAGTGTTATAAAAACTTGAAAATCAAGCTATCTATCAATACTGCCGTGTTGTACCAGTACTGTTTTGTTTGTGTTCTCGGTTACATTTTCACAGACCGGCACTAGTTTTTTACCAAAATTTTACAAATCCATGAAAATGCAAAGTATAGCTTATAGCACAGTGTTAATGTTTTCACTCTATCCTGTTTGCAGACCTTTCACAGTGACATAGGAACAAACTGAATCTTACAACTCCTACCCATCAACGTTTCATGAAGCATATAGTCAACATTTATTCATAGGTTATTTACCAATGCTGTATCAATTTCTGAGGTTATGTTATATCAATTTAGTGGTTCTTTACACTCAGATCAAGTGAGAAATATAATAATTTCTGCCACCCTCATATTGTTTTGCCAGTTTGCAAGTTTGTAAGTGATTAGAACCTTCAGCTGTTTATATTGCATGAGTCAGTGGTTTCTGTTTTTATTGGTGAAATAACTGGTGGCAAGCTTTCACGTTTCAATATCACATCCCCATCCCACCATCTTCAGTCATTTGATGTTATTTTTCTAATTAGCATCAAAATCAGTAACTGTCATGTAAATAGTCCCTACAATATCAGAAATGAACAATAAGGAAACAAAAAATGAGAAAAGAGCCTTACGGCATGCTCAGCCAATATTGTTGCAGGCGTGTGTTAGAAATTCAAATCCTTTTCTTGCATTGTTATGCACGCAGGAGTTCATATAAAAGCTGACCATTGTCTGTCCATATTTACACATTGTTGGTATGGATCTTAACACATCTTCGTAACGCTGTTTTAGCCGAATGACCCTTCCATATAGACGTATTTACATCAAAATAAACAATCTTACGTATCAGAAACAGTATGTATGCAATACAGACAGTGACAAGAGTCAGACGTAGGATGTGGCAATACATTTTATAAAGACAGAATTGGAGGTGCATCTTTGCCAGTCTGTCTCACTCACTGACTTCATATGTTTCTGATTTATTGTACTAGATGCTACTAATTTAACTATAGCCATTGCTTACAAAGGTGAATACACACACACACACATATACACTATGACAGATTTGTCCAGTTATTGAACATACTTGTGATGATGATCTTGTATGTTCCTAAAGCTACAATTTGTAAATTTGGAATTAAAGTAATTATCATATATATATATATATATATAATGGTCTGTGAGCATGAAATAATATTGTGATTAGGATACTGTTTTAATCCTAAACTAGAAATTTCTCTTTGTATAAGCTGAAACATTTGAGGAAAAGTAGGTATCATACATTTTATCATAATTTATTGTTAAACTGAGTTTAGCTGGTATATGATTATTCTTCTTCCAGTTGGTCCATTGATCCTACAGAACGGTATACACTGTGGGGTTCCTTAATTGGTTCTGCATTTCTTCATGTATCAGTGTATGGAGCTAATCAGCTGCAAGTTCAGAGGTATCGCACAGTGGCCACAATTGAGCAAGCACGCCAGTAAGTGAAGAATTGATCTTTTAGTATAGTATCTTGATAACATATTAAAAATTATTGTGTATGATATTTCTTATGCACAGTTGGTACTGTAATGGTTAAGTGATTGAAATGTGTAAAATATTCACATTACTTTAATGTGGAAAGATGGTAAGAAAAGTATATCTCTGCTGACATTGTTAAACATTTATGTTTCTAGAGCATATGGTCAGTATTTTCATTGTTATACTTATTATTATGAAGATTTGTTCAGTTTTAGATCCATTCTGGACATCACGTTAAAAAGAGAGATTCCATTTGTCGCTACTGGGAAACAAACAATCCACCATCCATGTCCAATCAATTTACTCTTTGAGCTGTTATAGCTTCTTTCAATTGTATAGATACAAGACTTAACATATTGAATACCAGCTACTTTAAGCAATTGCAAATAATGTCTTTCCATCATGTTTGCTCATCTACAGTTTGTGGAAAAGTAATTAGTACAAACTCCACAGTGTCACAGAATTGACAGACACTTAACACATATTGTGGTTTTTAAATATATAGGAATAAGGTGTGAGGGTGTGGACAAGACTGAATTAACCCAAGGTAATGTCTAATTCAGGGTGGTCCAACTTTTTCCTCGCTCGGGCCAGAATAATTTTCCTGTTTGACCTCACTGGTCTAATTAATGGGCTTTTGTGAGTATGGTAATTAACCTTAGCATTCAATAAAAGTGTGAAATTTCTTAAGCAGATAAGAACATTGTTTTATGAAATAATTTGTGTTGTGGAGTGAGATCATTAGTTACATTATTTGTTTACTTTTTGAGAATATTTTAAGACATTGAATTATATTTCTAATGTTCATTGGGCTAATAGAAGAAGTGCATGTGTCTGTACATTTACAAAATGTCTTTCACAGGATGATTTGGATCAACACTTTTGGTTGGACTGTGGTGGTGATTCTTACAGTATACGCAGGGATGCTGATATTTGCACGATACTATGACTGTGATCCTCTTTCAAGTGGTGTGAGTAAAGATATTTTATTAAATTAAATTTTTTTCTTAATTTTGAAAAATCTTCATGGTCACTATGTTGGTTAGTCACTTCACACTGCTGGGCAACATATTTTGGACTCATTTGTCCATTTTCTTGCCCTTAGCATATTAATAAAACATATAATTGACTATATCGTTAGGGGCCAAAAGATGGACTAATGAGTCACCCAGTAGAATAGAATAAAACTGAATTTATTTATTTATTTACTTATTTACATTTTATAGATCCTTCATATCTCCAAGTCAAGGATGTAGAACATGTCATAGCACAAATCACAATAGTGTGAACACCGAATGTCTCTCCAGTCAAATTCCAGGAATGCACCTTAAATTAGCTCATGACAGCTTCCTTTCACATCCTTGCCAATTCATTATTTACTGTCATTCTCTCATTTGATGTTATTTTGAGCTACTGAATTTAGCATCATTAAGTAAACTATAAACAAATAAGAAGTGTGAAGTGAAATGAGTGAAGTTGTGAAGTATACAGCTTTTTGTTGTGTGAAGATGGACATGTAATATGTATTATCTCTATTATTGAATTCACTAAACGACACTCAAATGTATTATTCTGTATGAAGACCAGTTTTCCACTGGTAATCACTAATCCACTGATGCTCCATGCTCATCTGTCACTGCTCCAGGGGCATGTCAGTCCATGTGTGGGTTTCATCTCTCACTCAGTCATTAATATACTGGAATTAAAGTGACATCAAATGTTGTGGCAATGTTTCACTGCTGCTTCATGTTTGAGCAATGGGCCTACCTGATTTTAATATAAACCAAAACACTGGCAGGAGTGAGACATTTTGTGTTTTTCCTCATTCCAAACAAATGACTAATTGATTAGTTTCTAGTGACATTTTTCAAATGCTTGATTTAGGCAGCAGTGAATGACAGCATGATAGCATGTATGATGAATTAGAAAGGATGTGGAAGGAAGCAGTCATGTCCTATTCCAGCATTTTCCTATAGAAACTTAGGAAAACTAAAAGAAACCTGTCAGCACAGCTGGTCTTTTGACCAAGATTTAAACCTGGGGCCTCCAGACTAAAACTGCTAACTACTACTTAGTCTAAGCTTAGTTATTAGAATTAAACTACATCCAATTCCTTCCTGCTGCTTTCTAGTTCATGATGCACAATCAGTCTCTCAAGTTGTTTTAGGTTATATAAACATGAAATTGAATTTCATGGTAAAACTCTTGGGTATAGTTCATCTTTTAAATGAAATTGAATAGTAATTTGTTACATGATTGATTGATGGACTGATTAATTTATTTTGCCATGACCTATATTGTATGTAAACATGAATGTGAGAGGTGACTCTTGAAATATATAGTTTTTAGTTAAATAATGTATGTATTTATATTTTATTAGGTTCTGAGTAAACCAGACCAACTGTTTCCTCTGTATGTCATGGACTCACTAGGAGACTATGTTGGTTTCCCAGGTCTTTTTGTGGCAGGAATATTCAGTGCAGGCTTGAGGTTAGTCGAGTTCCTTCTGAAATCCTAATAGGAGTACGGTATTAAAATATTTTATTCTGAATTTCTTATTACTAGAACTGTTTCCAGTGAATAAAATATTTACCTTTAGTTGTTTCATTAATTGTCAAATTAACCTGCTTAGTCAATACAGCTAGATCCTGATCAACAGATATTAAGATAAGTCATACAGTTAGTAATGTGGAATCTAAAAATGACAATAGGAAATTTACGTAACAAAGAAGCAGTCTTTCTTGAAAAGCAAGTGATACTCAGCTATTGAAGAAATTCTGCACTTATATGGAACCGAACAGGTTCATTACCATGATTATAAGAGCCTGCCACTGTACCTTTTTCTGAGTCAGATGAATCTAGTACACATTCTCAATACATTAATCTTATAAGATCCATTTTAATATTATCATCCCATCTATACCAGTGTCTAAAGTAATCTCAGATAGGATGTACCAAACATTCTAGGTTTAGTTTTGTTTCAAAGTTTCAAAACTGAAGGAAATAATGTCATGTATCTTGAAAAATTAACAGAGCATGATTTCTAATTTACTTGATTAATCAGTGTGTGGCAGTCCTATTTACTCTCCGTATACCATTTCATTTTCAGTGATGATACCTGTGATTAGTTTCAATATGCAAACTTTTCTGATAGGAAAGAGGTAGATTATAGCAGTAAATTTGTCACTCCTCTCATCTGTTTCAGTACTGTGTCAACAGGTCTGAACTCATTAGCTGCCATATGGTGGGCTGAATTAGATGAAACTGCATTGAAAGAATCTCTCTCTCAGCGCAGATCTGGACTTACTGTCAAATTCCTGGCGCTGTTCTTTGGATTGCTCTCTTATGCACTGGTATATGTTGTGCCATATATGGGAGGCCTAGTTCCTGTAAGTTGTATTAAAGGTAGTAATTGAAAGTATTGTTTAATGTGAATATTGTGTCATATTATTATATGTTATATTTATAACTGTGCATTAATTTCTTCCAGGTTGCCATTTCTTTGTCAAGTTTTTTCTCAGGCTCTTTCTTGGGATTATTTATATTGGGAATTTTTGTTCCATGGGCAAATACTGCTGTAAGTACCAAAATATACTTCTGTCAGTACATATTTGTTTAATGATTTCATCCACTTCATGATCAGTTTGTATAGTCCCATTATATACCTCCATTTAAGGATTCCTTCAATTTAATGTTGAGTTTAAGTGTAGTGCTTTGGAGATTACAGTTGTGAGTTTCTCTGCACTACACAGAACATATGTATATTCTGTGACAGGGCGCAGCGTGTGGCCTGACAGTCGGAATTGGAGCTGTTGGTTGGCTGGCTGTTGGAGCCCAAATGATGTCAGACAAGGGTCAGGCAATTTACACACCTCTGCCACTATCAACTGAGGGTTGCTCCATTGTGAACACAACAGTGTTAGCAGATGACAGCAAGTGAGTCACTATTGCTTAACCCTTCAATAGTTACTGTTCAGCTGACCTGTCCATCATATGACTGAAACCCTTATGTCTTACCTACAAGAGGATAACTAATGTTGTTGTCCATAATTTGAAGCATAATTTTCAGTATATACTGTGAAGACCTACTAGAATATTAACATTCTCCCATGCAAAATAGAGTATGTCCCCTGGCAAAATTAATGTACTAAAATGTAATATATAAAGGGCATTTAAATTACAATAAATTATTCCTGGGAAACCAGTCTCCTTGTCTGGGGGTAGGCCAGTAGGAGTGGACAGATTCAGGCAGACTGGCCAACCTACACAACATTAAGTGTTGCTTGTCTTGGGAAAGTCTGTGAATGTTATCAGGCATTAACTATTCTTTACGTGGATCCTATTGGTTGTTTTATCTTATGGTTTGTATTCTTTGAAGTATGCTGGTGACTGTCTTCCAGGATCAACTTAAGTGAATCCCATATCCCTGTTGAAGTTGTCAGAATGTAGGTACCTACATTTCAGTGGTCTCTTTCTATAGGCAAAAGATCTTCAGTTTAGTGAAGTTGTAGACAAACTGGCTCTGGCAGCCACAGCAAAACAGGCACTATTCTTGACTTTGTTTAAGACTGAATATTCTTTAGTGGCATAGAGGTCATCTTACAAGATAGGAAAGTAAAACCATAAAAGAATGGCTGCTACATTAACTAGAATACACATCTTTACTTTTGGCTGCTTTGACATTGTCCCTCCACTTAACTTTTCGGTACAGAAGTAATTATGCTATTGTTTTCACCTTAAAAATGTGTATCTGAGGACTAATAAAATAAATAATAATACAATTTACAATGTAGTTAAAACTTTTAAACAGATGTGTCCAAACTTAGAGCCAGTGCCATGTGTATTTGTATGTATTATTTTAATTGATGTATCCCAACAGTTTCAACTGTTAGAAATAGTATAAATAAAATTTCATCTCTGACACATTTTATACCATTTTTTAAACTTAAAAAAGTAAGAACATCTCCAAATCTCTTTAAATAGTTTATAGAAACAGGAAAGTAGGGGTTTAATTCTGTATTGTAGTTACAAATTACATGTATTAACAACATCATAAATTTGTGAAGTTAGGCCATTAGAAACGCTTATTTCATTTTCAGCATTCATGTCATCCAGTAACCTTTTAAGAGAGCATTCAAGTCATTATCTTCTAGTTGGGTGTTGTTTATTAGTACCCATGTAGACTAATATGTACAATTTTCTCTTTTATCTCTTTTTAGGCCCATTCAGCTTGCATTTGTTTTGTATCGAGTGTCATTCTTGTGGTATTCTCTGTTGTCCCTTGTTCTAACTGTGGGAGTCGGAATGCTGATCAGCTTTCTGTATAGCTTGCTATTAAGGAAACCTGAAGACAAAATGAAAAGCCAGACACACAGTACTCCTGTGCTCAAGCTAACAACAGCTGTCACGAACATCAGCATGAATCCAGGAGCATGCAAGTTGCTTCTGAATGAAGCAGAGATGAAGGATGAGAATGCAGTAAAGGTTAGTTCTAAGGGCAAAGTTCCTCCAGTGCTGTTATCTAGTAGGGATGTATAGTGTGGTGTTGGTGGTGGTGTGCTATGTTATATGTGTTGTGACTGACTTAATGTACATATGAGCTGTTGAGTTGGAAGTATGGCAGATGAACTAGAAGGCTCTTATATAGTTTTATACACAAAGAAATAGTAAAAGAAAAGTTGTTCTTATGCTGAAATGCCACATCATAAATATATACAGGAAAGTATAAGTAAAATTCTACATATTCTTAACCTCACTAAATGGGTTCAAGTGGTCAGCTTCGTGATGCAATTATTTCACCCCCAAGGAAAGAGTCTACAGAAGGTTTTGTGTGCCTCTATGTCAGCCTGTAGATACTGTTAAAGAAAGAGTATTGTCAAACTGAGAATCAAAACCCAATTGTTCAGAAATTTAAACATTGTGGGGAGATTATACTTTATAATGGCAGCTTTTCAAAAGGTACCCTAAAATTATTACTGAACTATTAATATATTAATAAAACACGCAATAAAGCAAGTATTCAGTTGAAAGTTAATTGGTAAATACATTTATGAAAACATACATTAGTAAACCATAATACTTAATACATAATCCTGCTCAATAAACATGTTTTTAAAAATATGGTGATGCTAAACATGTTTTATTGTTTAAAATATATCACTTTGAATACAATCTTGTATGAGTTCATGTACATGTGAATGTAAATTGGTGGCTACACTTACTCACAGTGATTTTATCTCTATGGGCATTTCTCTTACATTGTCATTCATGATAATTTTCATTTTACTTTCATTTTTTAAATGTATTTGCCAACAATAATTTGCTCTTCAGCATGGCTGTGTTGTAACAATTTTGTAGCACATCATAACAGGTGAAGATATGCTTGTTTTTAATTGTGTTCAGAATTGATTGTATTTGCTTGATTTTAATTTACCTCAAAATATATGCATGCTGAAATTCTGAAAGGTAAGTAAGAAAAATTTACCCATAAGTTATACATAAGTTACTGAATATTTACAGTAAAAAGCTGTTATGCAATAGAACATATTTGGATAGCTGTCATTTAAATTATTACCAGTTAACATGTTACTGATGCTTTTAACTGACATATGTTGTATTAGAATCAAAGAAATACAATATTCTACCTCAATGAACATTCATAATTGAAAATTATGCATGAGGATATATGAAAAAAATATAAGTTGCCAGAATTTCCCAGTGGTATATGACTGAAAGAGAAGTAATTGCAATTTACTTACCTAGTGAGAATCTATGCTAACAGTGTAGTGATGCTTAACACAAACTATTTAATCACTAAGAGGAAACAGGGAAATTTTATTAGTTGTAAAATAGCAATTTTTAGCTGTGGTAAAATAACAAGGAGGAACATATTTGGATCTGAAAGGGAGGGAGACAAATCATGGAGAAACTGCATAATGATGAGCTTCACAGCCCATACTTCTGATATTGTTAGGGAGATTAAATCGAGGAGGATGAGGTGGGCAGGACATGCAGCACATGTGAGGGAGGGGAGAGGTGTTTACAGGGTATTGGTTAGGAGGCCTCAAGGGAGGAGACCACTGGGAAGACCTAGATGTAGGCGGGAATGTAACATTAAGATGGACCTTAAGGAGATAGAAATCGATTGAGCAAACTGGATGCAGCTAGCTCAGAATATAGTCCAGTGGTGGGCTTTTCTGCACATGGTGGTGAACCTTCAGGTTCCTTAAAAAAAGTAGGCTATTCTTTGACAAGCCAAGTATACAATAAACTCTTCAAAGAAATTCCTGCACCATAGAGTTAGTAGTAAAATAACATGAATTAGAATTTGCAGAACAGAAACTTGGCTGTGTACTTACAGCATCCATGGTCTGCCATTGAGAAACATTGCTGCAGTGCATACAGTGTCACAAACTGGAGCTGTTAACAAAGTGCTGTAACCAAATTTGTGTTAGAAATAATCATAACTTCTTCTATATGTCTTACAAATAACGTTATTCTACATGAATTTACAATGGAGACCTTTACTTTGAAGAGGGTTTATTTTCATGTTGTGTTACTGTGACCCTAGATTTTGTCAGGAGAAGTCCCATTCAATATTCATCATCAGTGCATTGAAGACCATTAGATGGCCCCTGTAAGATGAAAATGAAGTATAAATTGTTTATTTAGTTATCTTATAATGATGGCATCAGAAAAACCGATAATAATGACAACAATGGAAGTTGATGAAATTTGTTTAGTGCCAAAACAATGACAGAAACTGTAACCTTCATTGACCATATATCTTGCATCTTGGCTTATGTGCTGTCCAGATAATATGCATTGCAGTAGAGCATTGCTAAACTAGGAACTCCAGAATTAAAGCCCTGTAGTATGAAGGTTTAAACCCCAATTTTTGTAAAATAAAGGTTAGGAAACCAGTTCTCGAGTAGATCATTATATTGTAATGCCCATTATTTGCCACTATTAAGACAGGAACTGTGAAACTTCTATTATTTTCATCAAACTGTTATGATGGCACAAGTAAAACTCAAAATATGAGATAAAATAACATATTTATGCATTTCTGAGAAAACTGCATGTATTAATTTCCATGAGTGACTTTTTAAAGAATTATTGTATGATTTATGTTTAAAATTTAAAGCAAGAAAGGTTTGAATTTTTATTTTCCCCTATTTAATTCTGATGAAACAGAACTATAACAATGAACAAGACTTTTCAATGTTATGGCAAGACAAGTATGTCTCTCATTTTTCAGTAATTTTCATATGAACCCCTGAATACCTTTTAAGCCCATGAGATGGACTACAAAATTTACATAGTTCATAAGTATTTTTAAGTGAAGTGAAGATTATTACACTCTTCACTCTGCAGTATTTTGTTCCTTCTATAAGTTTCAGTATTTTAAATATACCTGTACAATCTATGATTGATTACCTCTTATTCCACTAATGTCCAAAGAGGTTATATATAATCACATTTTATACAGTATTAAATGTAGACAATAAGAAACAAATGACATATTGTTAGGTCCTTGCGTGATGTGCACTGTACATATATTGTACACTTACTGTTGTACTTTCATGAACAGTATTTTATAGCGACATGATATTTATTTTTCCCTTTTTTAATTCTGTTAAATATTAGTGTAATTAACGGTGATTTCTGCAAGTATTAATGGATACAGACCAAAAATTTGACACTATATAATCTCATCAGAATATATAGTATCAAGAAGCCTACAATGAAATTATAGTATTGGTGTGTATTCATCCAGCCACACTAAAAGTATCTAAAATTTAAGGAAGGAAGCTCATGGATGCATCATATTACTCATAGGTGGGCAAATCTTTGATCATTGCGGCGGGGAGGGGGGGGGGGGGGGGGGAAAA